AAATAAAAGAACATGGTTAATGGATAGATCTATGCTTATCATATTTTATGAAAATGGTTACCATTTGTTTCCCATTGAGGGAAAAGGACACTGCCATCTTATAGAATGGGATACAACAGTTTAACCTGCAGCGGCCTCATATTTACCGGTAAATTATGAAAATGTCCGCTGCATATTACTGCTCAGAGACTAATTCCACTACACCCACACACAGCCAGAGTTCTTAATGTCCATTTGCTATAGGTTGGTATGAAGTGCTAATAAATGGGGGGTACAGGGGGATTGCCCCCCTTACCCCCCCATTAGAGGGTAGGAAAGCTTAGGTTGGGTGTTAGGGTTCCCATGATACCCTGGTTTTGGGACTTGGTCTTTGGATAGTGCGTCAATTTCAGTAATAGTTACCGTGGACCTATTCAAGACCCAAACCAAAAAGTGCTATCATTAAGAATAAGACCTACCTTTCATTAGATTTATCCCCAGTGTAGGAACTAGTCCAAGGTCTGTCATGTCATAATAACTATAGTGATGCATGTGAAGTTAATCTTAGGTCAATAAGTACTATTTTCCATTGCAAGTTACACCACGCAAAATGATTACTGTCGTCATCATACCTTGATTTATGCCAGTATTTCTAACATTTCCTTCCCTTTTATCTTTTAGGAAAATGAGGGTTATCCTGGTCTTGTCGGTAGTGGCTGTTGCAGTCAATGCCAACAGCCATTTCCTCTCGGACAAATTTATCAAGTTGCTTCAGAGTGAGGATTCTACATGGGAGGTTTGTGCACTTATCATAATAATGGTTATCTTATTTTTTAAACTTTTCTTATGCCAATTTTTAAATTGAATATCCATGGATGACATGAATATAGACCATTGCAGCTGTAATTTTTGTGTATTCTAAAAAGGCTCCACCTGTGCTTAGTCATCGAGTTTACCCGTTTCCTTGATTTTTGGCAAGATTTATTTTATATTGTTATTACTCTTTTGATAAAAGTTGGCCAATTTTATTAAATTGTGCGAGGCCTTGCCCAATGAATTTAAGTGATAGATTTAACTATCTAGCTCACACACATACTTACCTATCTATCTGTCCTGTAGGAGTGCATGTCTAGACTGATAGATATGTATTTCTGTATAATGAATATTTATTGGGTCAAGCCTCACACGGTTTTAATGAACCAGCTGAATATCGTGAGACAATCACAGTATTGATATTAACAGCAATAGAAAAGGCACCAGTATACAGCAACAAAAATAGGAAAAAAGTGCAGCAGACATTAATTAAACCAGCGACTGATGGTTAGATTTTGGTTTTGGTTTCATTAAGTAATAGAATGATTGCATTTTAGAAATAAGATAATGCTTTTGAGTTAAGTGATACTGAAAAGATTGACATGTCTTCTCTTAAAAAGGCCGGGAGGAACTTCAACAAGCACCTCTCCATAAGGTACTTCCGACGACTCATGGGTGTCCATCCCGATTCCAAATACCACATGCCCAAGTATGAAGTTCACCAGATTCCCGAGAACTTTGAATTGCCCAAAGAGTTTGACTCCAGAGCTGCATGGCCGATGTGTCCCACAATTGGTGAAATTCGTGATCAGGGTTCCTGTGGATCTTGCTGGGTACGTCAATTTTTTATAATAATTTTGAGTATCATTAATGTATTAGTATTAGTAGAATAGGATCTAGGTCAGTGGTTTCCAACTTTTTTTTTTTTCTCTCTCTCTCTCTCCAGGGACCCCAATCATGCACCTCCATACTGGACCATAACCCCATATACTATATTATTATATTGTATCATATTTATATTTATATTCAATAGATTTATAAATAATTTGAGTAACGAAAATCCTCAATTACTATTGTAATTTTCTTTAGTTTTAGTCATCAGAATTCAGTGGATTCATTTATTTATATATATTTTACTATATTTTGAATTGAGTAATAATCAAGTAAAATTTAACCATTACCTTTCAATCAGTATGTGACTATGTATATGCTGGAAACATCTCAAAATTGAGAATTGACTGTCATATATTTTGAGGGCTTGGTAACTCCAGGAAAAACACCTGATCCCACTTGGGGTCTTAACCCCAGGGTTAAGAGAGGCTGGCCTAGGTATGGTAGTATACATGTAGTAGTATAATTATTACTGTTACATTTGTAATTCTTATTATATGCACAGACACAGGCACACGTGCATGCAAAGACATAGGCCACATTCATGCAGGGGTATAGGCCCACGCACAGTCATTCATTTTCCTTCTCACTCACACACTCACACACTCCCTTCTCCTTCTCACTCACACACTCACTCACACACTCCCTTCTCCTTCTCACTCCTTCTCCTTCTCACTCACACACTCCCTTCTCCTTCTCACTCACCACACTCACACACTCCCTTCTCCTTCTCACTCACACACTCACTCACACACACACTCACTCACACACACCTCTCTTCTCCTTCTCACTCACACTCTCACTCACACACTCCCTTCTCCTTCTCACTCACACTCTCACTCACACACTCCCTTCTCCTTCTCACTCACACTCTCACTCACACACTCCCTTCTCCTTCTCACTCACACTCTCACTCACACACTCCCTTGTCTCTTCACTCACACTCACTCCCTTCTCCTTCTCACTCTCACTCACACACTCCCTTCTCCTTCTCACACTCACTCACACACTCCCTTCTCCTTCTCACACACTCACACACACTCCCTTCTCCTTCTCAGACACACTCACTCACACACTCCCTTCTCCTTCTCAGACACACTCACTCACACACTCCCTTCTCCTTCTTACTCACTCACAACACACTCCCTTCTCCTTCTCAGACACACTCACTCACACACTCCCTTCTCCTTCTCACTCACACACTCCTTCTCATTCTCACTTTCACACTCACTCACACTCCCTTCTCCTTCTCACTCACATCTCACTCACACTCTCACTCACACCACTCCCTTCTCCTCTCACTCACACTCTCACTCACTCCCTTCTCCTTCTCACACCCACTCACTCACACACTACACACTCTCACTCACACACTCCCTTTCTTCCTTCTCACTCACTCTCACCTCCACACTCCCTTTCTCCTTCTCACTCACACTCTCACTCACACACTCCTTCTCCTTCTCACTCACACACTTCACTCCACACTCCCTTCTCCTTCTCACACACTCACTCTTCCCTTCTCACACACTCACTCACACACTCCCTTCTCCTTCTCACTCAACACACTCACTCACACACTTCCCTTCTCCTTCTCACTCACACTCACTCACTCACTCAACCCCTTCTCCTTCTCACTCACACTCTCACTTCACTCACTCACTCCCTTCTCCTTCTCACTCACACTCACACTCACTCACTCACTCCCTCTCCTTTCTCACTTCACACTCACACACTCCCTTCTCCTTCTCACTCACACTCACACTCACTCACACTCACACTCCCACTCTTCTCCTTCTCACTCACACTCACACTCACACCACACTCTTCTCCTTCTCACTCACACTCACACTCACACACTCCTTCTCCTTTCTCACTCACACTCACACTCACACACTCACACACTCACACACTCCCTTCTCCTTCTCACTCACTCTCACAACACTCCCTTCTTCCTTCTCACTCACACTCACACACTCCCTTCTCCTTTCTCACTCACACTCACACCACTCCCTTCTCCTTCTCCACTCACACTCACTCACTCCCTTCTCCTTCTCACTCACACATTCCCTTCTCCTTCTCACTCACACTCACACACTCCCTTCTCCTTCTCACTCACACTCAACACACACTCCACACTCACACACTCCCTTTCTCCTTCTCACTCACACTCACACACACTCCCTTCTCTCCTTCTCACTCACACTCACTCACACTTTCTCCTTCTCACTCACACACACACACACTCCCTTCTCCTTCTCACTCACAACTCACACACTCCCTTCTCCTTCTCCTCACACTCTCACCTCACACACTTCCCTTCTCCTTCTCACTCACACTCACACTCACCCACTCCCTTTCTCCTTCTCACTCACACTCACACTCACACACTCCCTTCTCCTTCTCAACTCACACTCACTCACACACTCCCTTCTCCTTCTCACTCACACTCTCACACTCACACACTCACTCACACTCACACTCACACACTCCCTTCTTCTCACTCACACTCACACTCACTCCCTTCTCCTTCTCACTCACACACTCACACACACTCCCTCTCTCTCACTCACACTCACTCACACACTCCCTTCTCCTTCTCCTCACCCTCACACACTCCCTCCACCACTCACTCACACTTCACCCACTCCCTTCTCCTTCTCACTCACACTCACAACAACCTCCCTCACTCACACACCCCTTTCTCCTTCTCACTCACCACTCACACACTCCTTCTCCTTCTCCTTTCACTCACACTCACTCACACACTCCCTTCTCCTTCTCCTTCTCACTCACACTCACACTCACACACTCACACACTCCCTTCTCCTTCTCACTTCTCACTCACACTCACACACTCCCTTTCTCCTTCTCCTTCTCACTCACACTCACACTCACACACTCCTTTCTCCTTCTCACTCACACTCACACTCACACACTCACACTCACACACTCCCTTCTCCTTCTCCTCTCACTCACACTCACACACTCCCTTCTCCTTTCTCACTCACACTCACACTCACACTCCCTTCTCCTTCTCACTCACACTCACACACTCCCTTCTCCTTCTCCACACTCAACTCCCTTCTCCTTCTCACTCACACTCACACACTCCCTTCTCCCTTCTCCTTCTCTCTCACACTCACACACTCCCTTCTCCTTCTCACTCACACTCACACACTCCCTTCTCCTTCTCCTTCTCACTCACACTCACACTCACACACTCCTCCTTCTCCTTCTCCTCACACTCACACTCACACACTCACACACTCCCTTCTCCTTCTCCTTCTCACTCACACTCACACTCACACACTCCCTTCTCCTTCTCACTCACACTCACACTCACACACTCCCTTCTCCTTCTCGCTCACACTCACACACTCCCTTCTCCTTCTCCTTCTCACTCACACTCACACACTCCCTTCCTTCTTCTCACTTCTCTTCTCTCAACACTCACACTCACACACTCCCTTCTCCTTCTCCTTCTCGCTCTCACTCACACTCACCACTCCACTTCCCTTCTCCTTCTCGCTCACACTCACACACTCCCTTTTCCTTCTCGCTCACACTCACACACTCCCTTCTCCTTCTCGCTCACACTCACACACTTTTTCCTTCTCGCTCACACTTACACTCACACACTCCCTTTCCTTCTCGCTCACACTCACACACACTCCCTTCTCCTTCTCGCTCACACTCACACACTCCCTTCCTTCTCGCTCACACTCACACACTCCCTTCTCCTTCTCGACACTCACACTCACACACTCCCTTTTCCTTCTCGCTCACACTCACACTCACACACTCCCTTTTCCTTCTCGCTCACACTCACACTCACACACTCCCTTTTCCTTCTCGCTCACACTCTCACTCACACTCACACACTCCCTTCTCTTTCTCACTTACACACACACACACACATATTGTTTACTTATTTTTTTATTATATTTTAAGAGTAGAAATAAGATCGTTTGTTTGTTTATTTGTAACATGATCTTGTTGCAACTTTTTCTCGAACTTATTCATTTCAGGCATTTGGAGCTGTAGAGGTGATGAGTGACCGGCAGTGTATCCACAGTAAGGGCAAGAGCAACTTCCACTATTCTGCAGAGAATCTTGTGTCCTGTTGCCACCTCTGTGGTTTTGGATGTAACGGAGGCTTCCCAGGTGCAGCTTTCAAGTACTGGGTGCATAGTGGTATTGTCTCAGGGGGCTCGTTTAATTCCACTCAGGGATGTCAGCCCTATGAGATTGCTCCCTGTGAACATCACGTCCCAGGACCCCGACCCAAGTGCTCTGAGGGCGGCGGCACCCCAAAGTGTGCCAAGACATGCGAGAAGGGCTACATAGTGGACTACGAGAGTGATCTGCATCATGGAGGCAAAGCATACAGCATCATGAAAGATGAAGACCAAATTAAGTACGAGATCATGAAGAACGGGCCTGTGGAAGGAGCTTTCACCGTTTATGTGGACTTCCTTCACTACAAGTCTGGTGTGTACCAGCACCGCCATGGCTTACCTTTGGGTGGACATGCCATCCGTGTCCTTGGATGGGGCGAAGAGAATGGCACTCCCTATTGGCTGTGTGCCAATTCATGGAACACCGACTGGGGTGACAATGGTCTGTTCAAGATTCTAAGAGGTTCAGATCACTGTGGTATTGAGAGTGAAATTTCAGCTGGGTTGCCTAAGTTGAATTAGTAACATGTATGATGGCAGTTCAAGGTTTCTTTTGCATGGTCAAAAAAAGTTAGAAATTGATATTAATGTAAGGTAGGCACGTCCCAAGTTTTAGTCAGGTATGGATTCTTTACTTATTTCTTAAAACGGCCATTGTTATTTCTTCATGACTGTACTCATGGTCTTCACTCCAATAGGGAATGTTAATCCAGTGATGTGGGATTTTCATTCAAAAGCATTGCCCTGTATTGTATTTTGTGTAGCTAATGTGCTGGTACCTCTGACATACAAGTTTTATGTAACTTTTCACATTTTCTTTGTGAAGCTAGATATAGTGATGTTGAACAGAAATTAAGATTTCATGTTGCTGAACTGTGATAATATGTCACAAAATACAACAACGCTAACAAAAAATGAAATAAAACATTCCAGGTTATGTGTAATCATTAGTTTATATTTCTTTTCTGATTTTGATGTTTGTAAAGAAATAAATGTCTGATGTTCTGATAATAAATTTAATTTTACAATTTTTGTAGATGTTACTGCAAACCTAAAAGCTGGTGATCATATCAGGAGAAAATAGTATTATTATATTTTTTTTGTGGTTTCTACTTTAAAAAGTAACAATAGAGTGCAACAGATTTTAACGATTCATTTTACTTAGAATTTAGGGAAGTCCTACAGAGAAAAACATTTTTGATTTTTATTGAACAAGCTCAAGCCTATGTCTAGCATTACCGTACAGCAGAAGTCACAGTGGGGGATTACACAGTATAAAAAAGTTCTTAGTCTATGTCTGTCTCTGTCTCCCATGGTATATCTCTTGCTCTCTTTCTCTCCTTTTCCTTCTTCACCGTCATCCTCATCCGTATTTCCATTTTAACCATTAACCATCTTTTCTTCTCGTATATATATGTATATATGTGGGTATATGTGGATATGTATGTGTATATGTATATGTATGACCTTAGATGTTTAACACGTTTATTTTGCTTTTTAACCATTAACCATTCTCTCCTCCCCCCCCCCCCCAATCCCATGCTCATTGTCGTATTAGGAGACGGAGACTGAGGCCCAAAGTAGGTAATCACCCCTACCATGGGCCACAGCCCTCGCCTGGACTAGTTGTGCATGGTATTTTCTTTCCCTTCCCTTCTTCATCCCCTTCAACCCACTTCAGAGATATGAGAGCCACGCTGAAAGAATGAAAGTCTGGTTTTGTGTCAGTCATGAACTGTTTAAGGGAGCCATGAGCACGGCATTCCTTTAGTTAATTGCTCAGTCCTGTTCCTTACGGGGACCTGAGTGGGTTGATCGTTTCTTTTCCTATTTATTACGGGCTCACCATAGCCAGTAATGATTTTTTTTTTACTCTTATTGGGGCGTTAAGGCCTGCTCCTTCATCGGCTAGCCTATCTAGATTTGATTTTACTGGTTTTCCGAACCCCCTTTCCTTTGACCATCGGCTCCGACCATCGATACTGAAACTCCCTCGTCGATGATTACTGGCAAGTCTGTCCATTCCAAACCACCCACCCAAGTCTTTCCGCCTCTTTCAGAATGCACCCCTTCCTCTCTCCTAACGATTTCCACGCCATCCCCTACACACCTCTTCGTTACTACCCTTCATCCTTATTGTCCTCCCCCACAGTGTTACCTCGCTCCACACCACCCTATCTTCCTCCCGCCCTCGTCCTTCTACTACTTCCACCTCTGCAAACCTTTGGAGTACTCTCTATGGCTCAGCCAAATGGGTTCGATTCTTTGTGGTTCCACCTACAGCCCCTTACTCTGATAATACCCTTTTCTTCCAACAATATCTCCAAAAACAAGTAGGCAAAGTTACTTTCGCAGTCGTCCCCATCGTTCACGCTTTATCACAGTTACATCTAAGTTTCAAGCCCATGCATACCCCTTAACTGGCAAACCAGAACACTCTACCTATTCCAAAACTCCTTCGTTCTGCTACCCTCTCGCCTTCTCAAGGTGTCTCAGCATCCCCCCCCCCCCAGTATCACTTCCCTCTACCCCGAACCATCCTACTTCTACTACCCCTTTCCCCCAGTCAAATTTCTTTACCAGTCTGAATCCAGGTACTCCAACCTCTACCACTGCCCCGATGCAATCCCTTCATCATTCAAACTTTACCTGTTACACCAGGCAACTAAAACGTTCCACTCCATCTTCTCTTAACACATCCTCTCCTACACCCTCCTCTTCCTCTGCTCCTCAGACACCTGTCCCCTCTTCTCCTCACGAGAAAACCTTTGTTTCTTAGAGTTCCCTTCCAGAAACTTGAAGACATCCCAAACTAAATAAACATGGCCCAAGAGAATATTCCGCCCCCTCACCCCACCCCCCATCCCTCTATATCTATTCCCTTTACATTCAAAGTATTCGCCGATATCCATCCTCTTCCCCCTCAAGTTCCCCTACCTCTCTTCCTCCCACTCTCTCCCAACATACCTCATCCTCTCATCCATGTGCACCATTCCCTCTTCGTTCCTAATTATCCTAATTCCTGAGCGCTCTTAGCTGGATGTTCACCTGAGTCCCTTCTGTCGCAACAGTGTCCTTCTCCGGATCCCTCCCCTCCTGTCATTCTTCCAGATACTTCACCACCTTCCTCAGTCTCGTTATATCATTCGCCAGATTATTTTCCTATGCCTACAGCCCTCACTATCCGTATTTCCCGTTGACTGTTTCACATTGGCTCTTTTGACAGTTTTCCTTAAACGATGTTCCTATTGCTTCCCCAGCCACAGAGACTCTCCATTTCATCCAATCGCCGCATGCCCTTCACCTTTTTGTCTTTTACTATTCTCAGCTTTACTTCATTTGCTACCCCTCTTTACCCTTTTCACTACCTATACTATCCTATAACGTTCTGTAACCTTTGATAGCCAACATACGTTATCTTTAACAATTTTTTCACCATTCTAGCCATAATACTTAACCATAGTGTTATTTAACCTTTGATGTCTAGCACGTTTATTTGTGTCAACCATTAACCGTCTCTCCTTCTCTCCCCCTATCTCCCTCTCTCCCCATCTCTCCATCTCTCAACCTTTGCATCACCTGACACACAGGATGAGAAAACTCCAATGCCTTGTGAATATAAACCAATCCAAATAACCACATTGCCATATGCTCCTAATATACATGCACACACACACACACACATGCACAGATTAATAGGAAACTCGGCTACAATAGGAAATGAAATTGAATCAGTTTCTAACACACACACACCACACAACACACACACACACACACACACACACACGACACACCACACTACACACCACCACAACACACACACACGGGCACAACCAAGACAGAGCAGAGAGAGACAGAACGAGGATGGAGTGCAGACGAACGGCCTGTCCTGGAGAGGTGGAGGTTTCAGAGACAAAGAGGAGAGAGACAAGCAGAAGAGAGAGAACTGTGAGAGGGAAATGAATGAGAGGGTGTAAGAAGAGTGACTTGAGAGAGAGAGACGAGAGTTGAGGAGAGTGATGAGTCGAGAGTGAGATGTGAGAGTGAGGAGTCACTTTGAGAAGTGAGAGCAGTGCGCAGACAGAGTGACCACAGAAGAGATGCGGAGAAGAGAGAGAGTAGACACGGAGGATGTTGAG